CCAGCTTTCAGTCAGGAAGGAGTGTCCACCATCGTGTGGGAGCAGCAGGCCAAGGAGGATCTTGCACGGTTCTTCTCGTGTGCTTCACACCACCACTTTCCTCCTCCTTGTCACTCTCATCCCATGCTGGTGCTGGTGCTGTTGGTGGTGGCGAGCAAAGGCGAGGGAGATGGCCAGTCATTCTGGTCGCCACCACGTCGGCTAACCTGGCCACTGCCGCTGATCCATGCATGGAGTGCAATGGTGGCCGAGTGTGGTTGGTTGAGTGAGATTTGAGTGTGTGTTGGAGAAGGAAGGATGGAACACGGGCTGAGGTGGAGGAAGGAGGAAGGAAGGAAGGGAAATGGTGCTGTGGGTGGTGGAGGTTGTGTAGTCACACCAGTCGCACCAGTCAGTCAGTGGGAGAGAGAAGAGAGAAGAGAAGGGAAGGAAAGGAAGTGGTGCACACTTCTGCACGTGGCACGGAGCAGCAGCACTCTCACCAGAGCAGAGAAGAGAGAGGAGGGGAGAGGGGAGAGGAGAGAGGAGAGGAGGCACTGCAGCACATTCAAGCTCATGCACTGGCTGGTTGGCTGGTTTGTTGAGAGTGGGCTGTTGTGGGTGTTTTGTTTGCTGCACGGCAGACAGCAAGCAAGAAGCAAGAGGGGAAAAACAAACAAAGGAGAAGGACAGCTGGCTGGCTGCTTTGTGGAGGAAGATATGGGGAGTTTTCGTGGCTTCGCGAGAGAGGAATGGTGGAAGTCTTCATAGACTTTTCGTGGGGTGCGGAGTGGTTGTGCGGACAGCGCCCCAAGAAAGGCACACAGCAAACAACAAGCAGAGAAGGGAAGAAGAAGCAAGCACTGCAAGCAGGCGCGTGTGGTTTGTTTGTGCTTTTGTGGTGTGTCCTCTCCACTCCATTTCTGCGTCGTTCCAGTCACAGCAGAGGTCACAGCACCCCAGCCAAACAAGCAACAAGCAAGCAACAGAAGAGAGCAGAGAGGGAGGAGGAGAACAGACAAGGAGGAGACAGGGCAGATGGGTGACACCCACAGCAAGGCAGAGGGAGAGGAGAGGGCGAGGGAGGAGGTGGAGGCCTTGCTGGCACAGACGAAGCTGAGGGGTGAGGTGAAGGACAAGATCAGGGCCATCGCCAACAACACGGGTGGGGATAAAGTGAGGTGAGTGCATACCAGAAGGCCACATTGCTGTGTTGGAGTACAAAGCGCACTCTGCATGTACCGCTCTCTGCTTGCCTTGCTGCTGAGGGTTTTTGTGTGGCGCAACCACGATAGCCATGGTGGTCTGTGACTTGTTTGCCTGCTTGTCTCTTGGCCTGGCACACACTGAATGGCAGCTTTGCTCGGGATGGCCTCGGCGTCAGTGGGCGAAGGCGTTGGCAGAGGCGCTCAAGGACAACACCTGCCTCAAATGGCTCACGTGCGTACCGTGGTGATTTTGCTGCCTGGCATGCATTTCTGGTTGATTGCTTCATGCTGGTTGTTGGCTATCGTCTTTTCCTCTTTGTGTGCTCATGACGTGTGCTTTGACCGCCCCACTTTCCGTGTTGACAGCCTGTGGTACAACCGCATCAGTGATGAGGGCGCACTGGCGTTGGCGGAGGTGCTGAAGCACAACACAACCATGACAGCACTCGGGTAAGGGTGAACACACGTGCATGTGTGGATGGAAACGGGCTGCGTCACTGCCGTTGCACAATGCCCTGTGCTTTGCGAATGCACGTGTGTGGTGGGGGTGGGGTCAATGACAATGGTGTTACCCGCAGCGATCATCCCGTTCTCACTCACTCCTCACCCATATGGCATCATCGCTGTGCGTGGCATCATACCATCTTGACAGCCTGGAACACAACAACATTGGTCCTGAGGGCGCTGTGGCGTTGGCGGACGCACTGAAGCACAACACGACGTTGACCGCACTCATGTAAGTGTGACACACATACATGCACGCATGTTTGGATGGCAACGGACTGCATCAATCTCATTGCACCATTATCCCGTGCTGTGATGTGTGTGTGTGCGTGTACGGATGCACTGCGGATGCTCATGTGTGGTGGGGTGGATTCCATGTGTTGCTACCCACTGCAATCATCCCTCACTCACCCCTCCTCTCATGTGGCATCATCGCCCTGCGTGGCATCACACCATCTTGACAGGTTGAGGGGCAACCGCATTGGTCCTGAGGGCGCTGTGGCGTTGGCGGAGATGCTGAACCACAACACGACCTTGACTAC